GTCCATGTCTCCGACAAAGATATTAAACAGCGCTGGTTCCAATACCGACACCTGTGGAACACCGCTTGCCACCATTCTCCACTGGGACATTGAGCCATTCACCGTAACTTTCTGAGTGTGATCATCCAGCCAATTCCTTACCCACCAAGTGGTCCAACCATCAAATCCATGTCTCTCCAATTTGGAAGGAATGCTTTACATTACTAACTTCTTAATCCTGCCCCATATTTAAAGGAAGTTAGTGACTAAACACTTACCATTTCTGATAACATTTTATTTTGGTTTTTAACTTCTGTTCCAATTTCAATGGAAAGCTATTAAAAAAAAAGTTTTAAATATGAATAATCAGTGATACATAGATCAGAGAAACCAGTCTAAAATACATGAAGTGACTAGGATTTCCCCAGGTAAAATGTGAAAACAGTACCTGGTATTTTCAAAAAAACAAAATAACATGCACAGTATTCTGTCAATAACCCTTAGGAAAGTATTTGTCATTTGACTAGATGAGTCTAGAGGGTCACAGAAGGTACTCAATGCTCCTCCTCCCCTTTTCTCCTTCAACAGAGAATTTCTTATTAGAATTATTCATGGACTTTAAAAAAATCCAAGATCTGATCAGTCTAAGTAGCAGTTATCCATTTCCTGGAACAACTGTTGAAACTACTGGCACACAGGACAGAGGATGACGAGCATTCTTTTTTACTCAGTGTTGCTGGAGCTGACACCTGTAACCTGCTAATGCATCTTTTTAACAAGTCGCTGCTATGCTATAAATGGGAATTTCTCTTGTGAACTTGTGTATTCCTTCTCTGCTTAGCATCATGAAACACCAACAGTGCAGCAGGACAAGGAGACAAGTGGAGCATGCAACTGAGAGCCAGAGTCAGTCCAGAGGTAGTAACCAGGGTCAGCAACAGCCTGGTGACCACCCAGCACATCCACAGCCAGGAGACAGGTCCAAGGTCAAGCCAGAAAGCCAAGTCTGCAGGTTAGGGTCAGAATCAGGGAGGTATGAGACCAGGCACAGACAGGGGTGCAACACAGCTGCAATATAGCAAAGGCAGTGGCCAGCCAGAAGAGCCTTGGTTTAAAAGCAGCTCCCAAGTGAAATAGGGGAGAACCCCACTGAGGCTTCTTAGCAGCTCTTCATCCCTACTGGTTCTTATCAACACAGGGGCCTTGAACAACCAGCTCAACTCCTAGAAGGGAGGGAAATGTGCTCCAGGCCCCCATGCTTTGGATTAGCCAAAACTAACCCATGACATAACCTCAATCCCATGATTTCTTACTGCTGCATTTCACTGCAATCTGTAATTAAGTCAAGGGTGAAACTGATTTTACATTAAGGTTCTGGGAAGATTATCTGAACACTATTCCATATTCTAAGATCATTACATTGCACTAAAAGATGCAACTGCAGAAAGAGCACATGTGCCACTCTGTGGGGCACTGTCAACTGTACTGCTGACGTACACTGATTTTGAAATATAACAAAGGAGACGAGAAATTAAATTTTATAATAAAGGTCAAAGCTTTTCTTTTTACCCCTTTAACATACTCTACATTATTGTTCTAAACCTAAGGTTTTAGTTTCTATTTGAGAGTAAACAATTTACTTTTAAGCAACAGTAGTAGCAATAGGAATCTGAATAAGAATTAATTGGCTTGTACTATGTATACAGGAACAGCACCTATTGCTAAGAATGTATTTTTAAAAAATCTTAAGTTGTTCAGAAAAAAAACCCCACACAATTTTAATCACAGAGCTCTCTTTCAGTTAGGCTTGCTTGAAAGAAATCTTCAATCTCCAGAAAGAATAATCATTAAAACAACAAACTTCTCTTTCAGAGGATATTAGCATGCTATTTCTAACAGCTGTTTTCACATTACAGATTTATCAGCAGATACAGCAGAAGCTGATGAGCCATAATGACAGCAGCAAAAAGTAGTCCCTTTTCTTAAATGAAACAGAGACTGTTTACCAACCTAAGCTCAAAGTTTCTAGTTTCTGCAGGGACAGTAATTCATTCTGTAGGACAGTAAGCTGTAAGTAACACCACAGCTGTCCTCAAGATTAGCAAAAAAGGACATCTCTAGGTTAAAAATCTAATTAAAGGAAGAATCAGTATACAAATGAATGATTGCACATTTTGGCTGACAGTAATTCTTGTATTAAGTTTATGTTTTAAACTAAGTCTACTGCTTCACTGTTCCATACAATTTAATTCAATAAATATGATGATATCACTATATTAAATACTTACTGATTTAATGGCACTGACTTTTGTACGCAGACTTTCTGTTAACCTTTCATTTTCTTCTTCATAAACACTGTATCCACTGTTGGTATAGCCATAGCTACCAGCAGGTGCTCCATCGCCTATAAACACAACAGTCAGTAGTTGAAAACACCATTGGAGCAAGTGCTCTTCACATGTGGAAAAGCACTCTTT